CATTTGGTGCCTATTTTCAAGTCAGGCAAGAAATCTGACATCCGTAATTATCGTGGAATTGCCATTATCTCGTGCATCCCAAAACTTTTTGAATCAATCGTAAACGACAAAAATTCTCAGCTACATCGTATCTTCTTGAATTTGTAGCCTTCACTCTTAACGTAATGGACACTAGCAACCCAAGCAAAGCTGGAGATCAAGTTGAAATTAAAATTTGCTGTTATAATGTAACTTATTTTGAATACTCTAGTTGATCTCATTTTGGTTGACTTAACGGTTAACACAGCACACTTTTACACTGTTGTTACACTTGAGAGCACACTTTTACACTGTTGAATCAAACGGAAAAGTAATATTGCTTTCAATGACATCCCAATAAAGAAAAGTAAACTTGATTTCTGATTTTGCATTCATAATGTTTAACTGAATGCGGGCCTGGAGTAAATCGTATGCATCCATGTTTCTCACGCTGAAAGACTTGAGCTCAAATATCACCCCGGGAAAGTAACGAATGATCTAAATTGTGATAAACAAATCAAATAAACAATAAGTTAGTTCAACGACAGATGAGCTAAAATTATATTTTCAACTAGACGTTAACAGCAAAACTTCCAATTAAGTTTCTTTCGTTTAAAAAGTTTTGACTGCATAATGAAAGCAAAATATGAAATCAGACTAATGCCGTGACAATTGAAATCAAAATGAGTTTTCATTATAATAGAAACTGCACACTTTAATATCGATTTGCTTTCATTTTGTCAACCGACTTTGCTCGAGAAGCCAGCAGGCCTGGGTTCAATCCCAGTCGGCGCCGCCGGGATGTTCTGAGGCATAACATCTCTGACCACACCTTCCTTCGGAAGGGAAGTAAAGCCGTTGGTCCCCAGCTCATGAGTTGATGGGCCGATAGGTAGGGTCCGGGTGTAGGAGCTGTCTCCCTGGCGTCGGTAGCATTGGTGCTCAGCACAGAAAACAAGAGCTACGGAAAACAAATCATGGAAAAAAAAAGACGCAAGCAAACACGTAGAAGCCATTTTTACTGATTTCAGTAAAGCATTTGATTGAATCAATCGACATGTATTACTCTTTAAATTATAAAAAATAGGAATGGAATCTAGACTTTTGAATTGGCTTTAATCATACGTAACGCAACGCAAACGTTAGCTGGAAGAACCGAGCGGGATAGGGCTCGCATAGGCAGAAGCGTGATAATCGACCGGGATGAGTTCGAGGTGGTGGATGAATTTGTGTACCACGGATCATTGGTGACGTCGGATAACAACTGCAGCAGACAAATTGGTCGGCGTATTATTGCCGGAAGTCGTGCTTACTACTGACTCCACAAGACCCTGAGGTCAGGTAAACTTCACCTCCGTACTAAATGCACCATGTACAAGACGCTGATAAGACCGGTAGTTCTCTACGGGGACGATGCTCGAGGAGGACCTGCAAGCACTGGGTGTTTTCGAACGACGAGTGCTTAGGACCATCTTTGCCGGGGTATGTGAGAACGGTGTATAGAGGCGAAGGATGAACCACGAGCTGGCGCAACTCTATGGCAAACCATGTATCCAGAAAGTTGCAAAAGTTGGACGGATACGATGGGCGGGACACGTTTTAAGAATGCCGGACAAAAATCCTGCAAAAATGGTGTTTGCCTCGAATCCGGCTGGTACAAGATGAAGAGGAGCACGGCGAGCAAGGTGGTTAGACCAAGTCAAGCAGGATCTTGGAAGTGTGGGACGGTCAAGAAATTGGAGACAAGCAGCCACGGACCGAGTGAATTGGCGTAACATTGTGATGCAGGTGCAATCCTTAGGGATGTCGGACCAGGATAAGTAAATAAGTAAACGCAACGCAAACAAATAGTTTGTTTTCAAAATAAACTTTCAGAACCCATTTTGGTCACCTCTGGGGTGCCCCAAGGTTTTCATATAGGCCCAATTATTTATATTTTGTACGTAAACAACATTTCCTACATACTTAAAAAAAAATAAACTACTTATATATGCAGAGACGACATGAAGCTCTTCATGAAAATAAGTAATTCTAGCGACGCAGAAGAATTCCAGCATGAAATCAACTTATTTTACACCTAAAGTACACACTACGAAAAAGGCATGTAAATTTATGTACCCTGAAACCGACACATAAAAGCGGTCCATATGACATAAGAATCAGTTGAAAGAAAGGAGAAAACCAATTCAATCAAACGCACTTTATGTCGAGCTGCGTATGTTTCGGTTTTGGAACACTTTATTTTATATGACATGATTTTTGGCGTACCATAAGCTACGTCAAAGATGGATTACGTCTCTTGTGAAAATAGTTCTTCCTAAGTGTTTAGTAAAAGTGTACTCCAACTCAACGTAAAAAATGTACCGCAATAGTATTTAGCAGAAAAATAGATACACCTCTTTTCGAAATATTTTTAGGCGACCAACAAGTAGCAGAATGTAAAATTGTAATGGACCTAGCAGTAATCCTAGACTCCAAACTTACTTTTGTAGAACATTATAATACCATCATAACGAAAGCAAATAGTATGTTGGGCTTCATTAAGACGTTCAACTATAATGTCCAAGACCCATACACTATTAAATTATTATATATTACATATGTAATACCTATTCTGGAATACTGTATGGAATCCGTATAATGCCATATACAAGGAACGCATAGAATCCGTCCAAAAACAATTCATTTTATATGCCCTTCGCAAATTGAATTGAACCGCATTTCCTCTTCCATCATATGAAACACGCTGCATGCTCATCAACTTACAATCACTCAAAGAACGCCGCGAATTTGCAATGCTTTTCTTCGTTAATGATATTATTTCAGATCGCATAGAATCATCAGAATTACTCTCACAATTAAACTGTTACACACCCTGTTGGCATCTTAGAGCACGGTTATTATTCTCAGAAAAATCACACAGAACAAATTACGCAAAAATGGCCCCATCAATCGAATGATGCGACAGTATAATCACAGACAAACAAACATAACACTCACAAGTTGTTCATGGAACAAGCAATTAACGGTCAATTTAAAAGTATCGTAGTTGGTAGTACCACTACTTGTGGCGCGCATAGTCAATTCCCTTGCGTTTGACGTTTACACACTACCGCCATCTGTTCAGCGTACTACACACCGAAGTGTACTCAACAGATGGCTGTAATGTTTTAGCGACGATGTTTTACGATGAGAAATATTCAATGTTTTATGTCTGTTTGTCTGTGGTATAATCTACACTGCGAAGTCATTAGCATCACTATGTCAAAAGAAAACATTGAAAACCGACTAAAACATGATAGAAATAGAATGCATAGCATGTAAGTAAACCATTGTAACCATTGTATGTAGTCTACTATTGCTTCATGGAAAAAGAAAGCAATAGTGCACTAGCTTTTAATGTGCATCTTAAACGGTAAACTTCGTTTTTATTTCAAAGTCCGTTGGGAGCACTATTAACAAAAATATCGTTCATGATAAGTTGCGAGTTGACGTTGAATTTCTGAGATAAGAGCACATATTCTATCTTCTTTGGTACACGAAGCTGAGATTAACTCAAGATTGAACATAATCCCACTATTTTTTTTTTTCTAATTAAAAAACAGAGGTTAAGCAGCTTCCATCGTTTATGAGTATCGTTTACCTTGATATTTGCCAGAAAGAATAAAACTCTACACACTTAGAAATACCTAATTTTACACGTGATGGAATCCTTCTTTGACATAAATGATGAGACGTAAACAAATATGTCATGTAAAATTAAGTGCTCCGAGACTGAAAAGAACGGTACTCGATGAAAAGTACGTTTGATTGAGATGAATTTCAAGTTTATTATGATTCAATTTTATGTCAAAATTGACGCTCGTATATGTCAGTCTCTGAGCACCTAAATTTACATTAATTTTTCTAAGTGTGTACTCAATTTTGAGTTAGTCTCGGTGGCGATCGCACAATTTAACAATTTCGAGTCAAAGAATGAATCCTCACATCAAGGAAAACTTATTCAATTTAGAATATGAAGGAATACCTCATTCAATGTGTACGATGTGTTGGCACTGAAAACGCAGTCATGCCAAATAGCATTTTAAAAATATTGTCTATAAATGATATCTCAAATAGCTAAAAGTGTCCTCCACTGTCCACCATGCGTCTCCATCAGTTTATTAGATTTTGGCAAAAAAAAAAATCCACCGTTAACACATTTAATCCATTAGCCAGCTGCACCATTTCAAGTCCTCACTGTGATACAGGTGCACATAAGTAAAAAATCCTCGTTAAATTTAATGTTCTCGTCCGACTAACTATGTCCACAGTTGCCTTTGCACTCGACGGCTTCACTCCACGCTAATCGCTTTATAGGCCTAAATGGTTGCTGTTGGTTTAACTGTTTGCGAATAAAATTTCAATTTCGTATGCCAATCTTCATTCACACACTCGGCCACAGTTTTCCCCAATTCAGTTCATGCGTGTCGAGCGGTTTCCACCATTTGTCGTAATATATGGTCATCATCCGGCCGCACATGGTAAAAATCTCCGGGGAAATATTTTCACAGCTGTCGAATTTCTTGTTTATACACTGGCCAACACGCGCGCGTTTCCACGACGATCACCTTCACCCCCTGCCATCACTTGTTATGGACTGCTGGTCGATGATAGATTTAAATACTGACGAGCGATATCAAACGAATTATAAATCTGTGCGGCCATTGCTGCTAATTTTACGATTTTGTTTGAAATCTGAACAATTTATAATTTGATGATACCGTTTCCGCTGGAATGTTATATAACCGAGGGGGTGCACTTGCGATCGTTTATTGCTTTTCCCGTCAATTGGCCATTTGCTTCCACAAACACGTACTTTGGCGATTTTTATTTTATTCGTATATTTTCTTCCGATGGAGACGCATGGCAGTTTTCAGTAGATCGATCTCAATTTGCTCACATTTTCAACTTCACAAAAAGCACTCATTTCAACCACCTACCTAGTTTTAACACGAACCCTGCAAAACGGGCAAACTATCGGACCAAACTCGATTCACGCGAAATGCCAAAAGTTCAACAGACTCTGTCGGATTGCTCCTTTATTCCGTTCTTTTGCCCTGAGAGGTGGACGAGTTGTTCTTTATCCCAAACGGTCAACCGAGTGTTTCGATCACTACTGAGGGTAGGATTTTCGTGGCGAGACGATTTTATGAATCAAGTGGTTTTCCCTCCGCTTTTCCGACGAGCCCGGTACCAATACCTGTGCGCACTTGGTCGGTCGTTGTGGGTATGCACCGTTTTCCCGTTCTTCTACACGAATGCTTCATGGCGATGTGGTGCGCCCGAGGGATTTGCGCAACGCATTCCAAGTCGAGTCGATGTATTTGGGGATTATGTTGGTCGGTGTTGGTTCGGAAGGTGGAGAGATGTTCAGGTTGATGTGTAGGTAATGCAGGGATTTTCGATGGTTTGTGCTGATCTTGGAAAGAATTTGCATTAGAGTTTCCACAGGCCTTCGTTTCGTAGACGACTTTGAAGCTAGAAAGGAATATTCTCATATTTTGAGAAACTTTTTTTTTATAATTTACATCTCCAACAATTCCAATTTAATTGCTCTGATATATGTAGCGAGACATCCAGTGATTGAATGCAGTTCTATGATTGCGGGTAAAAAAAATCAACTTTCAGTTTCTCCTAACTGTTAGCAAACTTAAATCTTGAGCAGCATGGGTTATTTTTTATCATAATCGACTAAATGCATCGTTTACTATTATATCTAATATTTAATTGATGCTGCTCCTAATGTTGAAAGTTTGAATCGTTATTTCAAATCCCTGCTTTCTGTGCTGTGGTTGTGGGTGGCTGCGGGCAGTCGGGCAATCAAGCTTTAGGAATAAATATATTAAATCTTTTTTCTGGAACACATTCTATGAGTTAATGCTGTCTATAAATTTAAACAGGATGTCTTCTCATTTGGCTAAATTAATTTCCCTGAGTTTTCCTGAGCTTTAACGGAGGTTTACAATGGGCCTTATTACGGCTGTCACTACATGGTGATAAGGAAGTGATACTCAGAATAAGAGCCGTGATTGTCGTACAAATCAAATGGGAATCACTTCACCGTGATGACTAGTGACAAGTTTTCACCGTGAAGTGACATCCGTAATAAGCCCCCATGTAAATGGCCCTTCATGGGAAATTAAACTCCGGGAAATGTAATACCACCATGAGAAGCGTTTTCAATCAGTCAGGAGCTAGAACAGGAGCACATATGTGATTGGCAGAGTATGTGACGGGAGTTTGAGGGTACTGGATTCTTTGTTCAGTACTTTTAACGGGGCTTCTCACATATATGTGATCCTTTATTCTTAAAGGAAAATTTTTATGAATGAAAGTGTTTAATTCAGTGTATCAATAGAGTGGTGTTGCTTAATTTTGCCGAATTACGTGTTTAAAGCTTCAAAAGATCCTGTTGACAAATGAATTATTCAAAAATAGTATTGCATAACTATAGCTAACCAAGACACCATTGTGGAATGCTCTTTGACAGGGGAAATATGGCATTAGGGCGAAGCATTTTTAAACCACTGATGCTAGCGTCATCTAGTATTGTTTTGACTATTGTATAACCACTTCCCTAGCAGCACACTCGTCATTTAACTGTTGTGGCTACTTGTATGTACTTTATTTCAGTCGCAATGAAGTTGCAGCAACCTATTTTGATGGATGTGTGTTGCTTGGTTTGATTCAATAGGATCAGATCCGCCATTAGCACAAGATGGCTAAGTGTGTCAGGTTTTGATTTTAGTGTTCCTTTAATTGACCCTATCTTGTTGAGGAAGTTAGTTCGGTTCATTGGTTGATCTCATTCTTGCTGAAAAAAATTATAAACATGTATTGCCGCTTTATCTAGCTCAGATCTCATATTAATCTGACTCTATACATCAGTTTTAGATAAATCCAAGATTTTTTTTTCTTTTTTTTTGTAGTGATCACAGTGGCAGCATACACTTGCTTAAACTCTACACTGGACCCCTTTTATTGATTTATTTTACTTCTATGAGCCTCTATTTTAAATCAACACACATACGTTCCTAGGCTATGGTGCCCGTTTGGTCACTGTTGTTTTTGTGTTGATCAAAATAGTTTTGATAATATAATTGAGCATTCTTATTTTTTTTTCAAGGTTGTCTTCTGTCGTTTCTTATTTTGTCATTTTGTCTTGTGTATTAACCCCAACTTGTCTTTTGTATTGTGTCAACTTGTGTCTATTGTCCTTCCCCATCTGCTTTTAAACTCTTTCTGTTATGACTAATTTCGTTAATATATAAAAATAGTAATATCAATTATAGGATAATATGGTTTTTTATACTAATTAATGTATTATTAATAATTACCTCTCATGGTCCTTCGCTCCACTATGATTTTAACTTACGATTTTTTGATTATTTATCAAATACCTCTCCGAGTATATAACTCACAGGTGCCTTGTTGATTTCTGGTATCTAATGGACTGGTCCTGAATTTGTTTGATATCCTATTCGAAGTTGTTCTATTCCTTCTCCTTAGTACATTAAAATCACGTTATTTCTTTGAGTTCCAGCTCCATAAGATTCACCATTCATAAAGATAATGGGTTAAAAGGGAGTAAAGCATACATAAAGGTAGATTAGTATTAATTGTACTTGATCCAAACAATAGAAAGAAGCATAGATAAATTAGTTGGAAAATAAAACTAAAATATAACTAAAAGTGCAATGGCTGAGTGTTAGTTCCGGGATCATTTTAGTGTTAGAAGTTATGTTAGTTTTGATCCGTATTCAGCCCTCCCAGCCCATCCAGCAGTATTTGCAGCAATTGTGAATAGATTATGCGACACTGCTACTACTACTATGTTAGATGTATGAATTGTCAATTTTCGTTAGAGAAGAATACTGTTTTCTAACGCAACGCAATGTTTCAATGAAGGTGTCTTTCAATAAATCGCTCAATCAATTTGATTTTTAGTTTAGTTAACACATCATACCTTACCGAAAACTAAAGTACAACAATCCTAATTCTTATTTCAAACCTATCAACATGTTTAACACACCTATCCTAAAACTTCACTTATTTGTAAGTGCCTGATTTATTTATTTATTTATTTATTTATTTATTTATTTCGTCAACCAACCAACGTAGACTAGTACAACTAATACAGTTTTGTTTTCTTAAATATATATTTATATAAAAAAAGTAGTGTCAGCTTTCTTGTCTTTTTTTTTTGTGAGTTGTTATTTCTTATGGAATAAAAATATTGCTTTAGTTTATGCCGGGACATTGTAAAGTCAATGGTTTCGCAGTGTTTATTGTAAGAGGCCATCATGCGGTTTAATGGCCCATATTTTGCATAATTTGTGCGATGATGTTTTATGGCAAATAAATTTCGATTTCGGAGTTGCCGAGTGGGTGCATGGAAATTTAATTTTGATAAAAGTTCTGTTGAGTCAATTCGCTGCGAAACGATATCATTTACAAATGAAACCATTGCATATTCACGACGCTCTTTTAATGTTTGTATGTTTATAAGCATGCAGCGTGCTTCATATGATGGAAGAGGAAATGATGTCCAACCTAATTTACGAAGAGCGTATAATAGAAATTGTTTTTGTACTGATTCTAATCTTTCTTCGTGCGTGATTGAAAATGGAGACCATACAATGCTGCAATATTCCAGTATTGACCTCACATAGGCAATATATAGTGTTTTAATTGTGTAAGGGTCCTGAAAGTTATAGCAATAGCGCTTGATAAAGCCTAGCATGTTATTTGCCCTGTGAATAATTGTATTGTAATGGTCTTTGGAAGTTAGCTTAGAGTCTAAGATAATTCCTAAATCCCAAACTCTTTCACATTTGTCTACAGTTTGATTTCCTAATGCAATTGAAATGTTTGAAGTTGTTCTTTTTCTACTAAATGATATTAAGTTACATTTTTTTACATTCAATTCTAGTAGACTTTTTTTTGCACCATATGTAGAATATGTGTATTTCATTCCGGAATATATTGATGTCTTCTTCATTTCTTATTTCCAAAAAGAGCTTCATGTCGTCGGCATAAATAAGCAATTTAAGTTTTTTGATAATGTAAGATATGTCGTTTACGTATAGAATAAAAAGGAGAGGTCCCAAATGAGAGCCTTGGGGGACGCCTGAAGTGACTTGAATTGGGCTCGATTTCTTTCCGTTGAATTTAATTATTTGTTGGCGGTTAGTTAAATATGATTCAAGCCATTTCAGGAGCCCTGACTTAATTCCAATTTTTTGCAGTTTAAAGAGTAACATTGGTATGTCAATGCGGTCAAATGCCTTGCTAAAGTCTGTATAGAGAGCTTCTACGTGGTTTCCATTATCCATTGCATTCAATGAATAGTCTATAAATTCAAGTAAGTTGGTCGAGGTCGAACGACCCTTGAAAAAGCCGTGTTGCATGTCAGTAATTCTATTTTTGATTTGGAGAAATAATTTTTCGTTGATAATTGACTCGAAAAGCTTACGAATGCGAGAGATAATGGCTATACCACGATAATTACGTACGTCAGATTTTCGACCAGATTTAAAGATAGGTACTAGAAATGAGCTTTTCCAAATTTTAGGGAAGGTTCCGGATTCCAGGGACATATTAAAAAGCCAAAACAATGGAGCAGTGAGTTCCATTGCTAGACATTTAATAAATACTGGAGGAATTCCGTCAGGTCCAGGACCTTTTGAGGCATCTAAATTTTTTAAAGCCTGCAAAATGTCCTGCACTTGAAGTTGATTGAGACCAATGTCCCTTGAAAATTCTGGATAAAATGCAAAATAATCGCGGTCACGATCTTCTTCAGAAAATGTCGTATAAATTTCTTGAAAAAATTTTGCGAATAGATTACAGTTTTTTCCGAACTATCACCGACATTTTCGTCTAGATGCATTATTGAAAGAAAATTGTCAGATTTTAATTTCGTTTTTACGTAATTAAAGAAGTTCTTCGGACATGACTTTATTTCACGTTCAGTTTTTGCATTATATTCTTCAAATGCAGTACTGATTGCTAAATTCAGTTGATCGCATAGATCCAAATAAATTAATAAATTATTACTACTATTGTGTTTTTATAAATTTTATGTGCTTTTTGCTTCCGATTTTTCAAGTTTTTTATTTGTCTGTTAAACCAGACTG